CGTGCTTGTGTTTTAGAGAAGGGTGGAGCTTGGGATAGCTATTTGCCATTGATTGAATTTACTTATAACAATAGTTACCATTCGAGTATTAGTATGGCTCCGTTTGAGGCATTGTATGGTAGACGGTGTAGAACGCCTTTGTGTTGGTATGAATCTGGAGAGAGTTCAGTAATTGGGCCAGAGATTGTTCAGCAGACTACTGAAAAGATCAAATTGATTCAAGAGAAGATGAGAGCTTCTCAGAGTCGTCAGAAGAGTTATCATGACAAGAGGAGAAAGAATTTAGAATTCAGTGCTGGAGATCATGTGTTTATGAGAGTTACTCCGATGACGGGTATTGGTCGAGCGTTGAAATCTAAGAAGTTGACTCCGCGTTTTATTGGTCCATTTCAGATTACGGAGAGAGTTGGAGAAGTTGCTTATCGTATTGCTTTACCTCCGAGACTTGCGAATTTGCACGATGTTTTTCATGTTTCTCAGTTGAGGAGATACATTCCAGACCCATCTCATGTAATCCAAATAGATGATGTACAGGTGAGAGATAACCTGACAGTAGAAACATTGCCTATGAGGATAGAAGATCGGGAAGTGAAACAGTTAAGGGGTAAAGAGATAACATTAGTGAAGGTTGCTTGGGGAGGTCCAGCAGATGGAAATATCACTTGGGAACTGGAGAGCCAGATGAAAGAGGATTATCCGGAACTGTTCGTCTAAGGTATGTTTTCGAGGACGAAAACTCTTTTAGTGGGGGAGAGTTGTAACGCCCCAGTTTTAATTATTTGATTTATTTAATTGGGAATTTATTTTATTAGAATTAATGAAATAAAAAGAATTATTTATTTTGGAATATTTGAAGAAAATGAAAGAAATAAGAAAATATTGGGTTTTTAAGTTATTGGGCTTGGATGTCGTTAGTAAAGAGTGGGGGTGCAAAAGAAATAAGGATATATATTTTGGGACTTAAGTTATTTCTCACTTTCCACGATAAAACAGAATTTGGAGATATTTGGGATTGGAGCTCTGAAGAACGAAGAACAATCGCTCAAGAGTTCAAAGCTGCAATTTGATAAGGTAAGGGGGGCTACTACTCAATTTATATTTGCTTATGGGTTTAGATGCAATTGGTTGGGTAATCGTAGGATAACCCCATTTTCTCTGATGTTCTTAGTGATTGATAACTTTAGGGTCGAATTTTGTTAGAAAAGATTAGGTTCCCTAAAGGTTGTGAATCGATTAAGAAATTAATCCCTATTGTTGATTTAGATCGAAATTGCATGATCGGGAGTTTTCCTTAGGTGTTCTAAGGATAACCTTGATGTATCAGATTTCCTCCCAAAAGGACGAATAATCACTTTTAAGGTTACTTTGATAATTGTTGGTAATTATAAAATTAAGTTTTTGGATTAAATGATTTGAAAAGGGAATTCTGTTTTCCAACGATTTTAGAAAACTATAACCTTGAAGGATTTGAGTTATTCAATTTGTGGGAAATTGATGAACATAGGTCAGAGGCATAGGGAATTGATGTTTTGGAAACTTGATGTGTATTTGGATGTTTTTGTACTGCATTGCACTGCTGTAGAAATGTATTTTCGTGCAAATACGTTGGCATATGAGCTGCTGCAGGTACAGGAATTTCCGGGCTCGCGCTCATCAACACGGGCCGTGTTGATTCACACGGGCACCCGTGTTGATCTGCTGGATGGGTAAAAAAAATGTGTTTCCAGACACATTTCAACACGGGCCGTGTTGATTCACACGGGCACCCGTGTTGATCTTCTGTATTGGCAAAATAACGTGTTTCTGGACACATTTCCACACGGGCAGTGTTGATTTACACGGGCACCCGTGTTGAACCTCCTGTGTTGGTTTCTGAATTCTGTTTTTCTGTGCATGCTGTTATGTACGGATTTGATTCTGTTTTGACGTGCAGTGTTTTATATGTTTGGAATATGCTGCTTATTGATTCCCTAGTGTTGTTTGATGCTTGTATCGAATAATGTTTGTATGTTATGATACCAACACTACGCGGATATTATTGTCATGCTTTTAGATGATGTTATCAAGCATGAATTATGATATAACTTGATATGATTGGTTGATGTTTAATAGTATGTTGAGTGATTACATGCTATCCATATCCTGTTATGATTGATATTGTTGATGTTGCATGATATGTTTTCTTGATGTTAATAGTATGCTGGGTGTTACATACTTTACATATCATGTTGCATTTGTTAATTCCCATTGTGTGGAATTAACATGGTGGCCAATATACGTGTCCGCGATTTAATGGAACGTTGAGGTGGTAGCCATGTCCGCGATATAATGGAACGGTGAGTTGTCCGTGACCCGAGATATAATGGGGCGGTAAAATGGTACCACATGCATGGGTGTGTTGCATTATATTGAATATAACATGAATGGATGATTTTCCAATGTTGTATTTAATTGATTGTATGCATGTATTGTTGCTGAATTGCTAATGATGTTTGATGTTAATTATAAGTATGAAAAGTAATATATTATGAATATATGAATTGTAAAGGTTTTCGTAAACTATGAAACATGCTACTGTTTGGGTGATGCTTATGTTTTTTCTGAATTGATTGTTATGAACGTATAATCAAATGTATAGTCGAGATGCTCACCCTTACTGTTGAACATTTCAGATTGAGGAGCTTCGTTCAGGTGCTTGGCGAAGACTTGCTGTTTCTAGTTTATTTCGGTTTAAGTATTGTCCGGGTCATGCTCTGATAGTTGTAACTTCGGGAACGTTTGTTTGTCGAGCTGCTTTAGTCAGACTCGTTTATTTCCTTAGTATTGGGTTATAATATGATGTTGATATATTCCAGGTGTTAATCCCTGATGATTGAAAATATTATAACTTTGGTTTTATTAAATATAATATTCCGCTGTGTAAACATGTATGAGTTGCTTCTATGTTATGCATGACAGGAACTTGTTTTTATTAAAAGAGAATTGTGACATCCTCGTTAATACATGTACTCTGAAAGTATGATTTTAATTATTTGCGAAAATGATATGCGGGGTTTTAGAGGGTGTTACACACAACGCATGGATACATTTTTTATGGACGTCCCCTCAACCTAAGCGGGTCCCAGTATGACATAAACGGTCGCGCCTTTGCCTCGCCCATTGTCTCACTCCTCTCTGTTGATTTTTCTGAGGTGTTTGTAGTCTATTCTGACTCGCTTGATTATGAGGTGCTTGATGTGATGGTCCTGGTACATTAGAATCATACATCTCATCGATCATTTTGCCTCACTGTGATGTGCTTCCAAAGAGATTGGTGTCCATGTTGTTGAAGTTTGGTCTTGTTGGTTGGGATATGTGTGGGTGGTGGGGTGGTTGATAGTATTGGGATGTTGAATCGTGATGGAAACGAAGCAACAGTTCTTCTGGTGTATGAAATCTGTATGATGGTTGGGTACTTCGATGGTGTGATGTTTGACTGTATGTAGGTTGGGTGGTATGGTAGGAAGGAGATGTATCATATGTGTCTTGGGTGTTGTGGTAGGATGAGGATGGTGCATATTATTGGTGGTGGGTCGGGTCATGCTCTTGGTATTGTGTTTGTGTGTGTGGCATGAATTGATGACGGGTTTGGTTGAATGAGGTGGTGTATGGTTGTTGGGTTTGAGTGGGTTTACATTGTGGTTGGGTTTGGTATTGTTGAGGAGTTGGTTGTTGGGTTTGGTATTGTTGAGGGTTTGGTTGTTAGGGTTGTTGTTGGGCGTATGTTACAGCTCTTTGGCGTGGCTCGATCAAACAAGTCCCTTGAGAAAGAAACAAATTTGTTGAAACCGATGTGTACCATCTCAAATATTAGAGCATCGACTTTAAGTCATCTTGCAAGATCGGCTCTCTTAGGACCAATTCATGTCTATGCCTCAATTGACGATATTGATTTTTAGTGAAGTCTCTCAAATCGTTAAATCCCCACTGGTCATCAACTCTGAGTATATTCCATTGGCCCAAACATGTTGGGGGGTCGGGGATACCCTGTTGCATGCCTAACTGTAGCTTCACACGATCACTGTGGTGTATCTCCATAGTAGTGAATCTGATGAGTGTTGTTTTTGCAGTCCAGACTTCAGCATCAGGAGGGTTAATCTCATGGTCGAGATCCTTATACAGCCTCTATACAAACTGTAGAGTAAAAAAAGTTATATAAAATATTAAACTTAATTAAACTATTGAATGCATTATATAAAATATGTAAGTTTAATAGCTCTTCGGGTCCAACATGATCAATAAGATTTCGGTAGACTACTATTGCGTTTCTAGGGGATTTGTTGTAATTCATCCAAGGAACAGACCACCTACATAGAAAAAATGGTAATAAATTAATACACTACATGTCTCGGTATATAATATGTAAAATTTATGGTTTTGTAATATTACTTTGTAGCAAAGAGGAAGACGAATGACCTTATGTTGCGGGGGGCAAGTGTCGGCATTCTCGACCAACACCATATCTGGAGCAAAAAGGCGCAAGAATAGAAAGAACAGCTACCGTTCGATGCATTTTTACACAAGAAACTATACAGATGGGCCAAAACAGCTGAACCCCAATTATATATGTTCATTTTATCAAATTGTCTTAACAAGGGTAAATACATGATATTAACAGCTGAACCCCAACTATATGTGTTTATTTGAGAAATTTTAAAAAAAAAATTCAAAGTTTTATCCTGTTAATTTTTACATATGAAGAGTTTTATTTTATATTTATAAATGAGTTATTTAAAAAAACAAAATTAGACATAAATTTATAATTAAAATCTATTGTCGTTATATATAGGTAGGTAGACTGACATCACTCCCATGTGCGATGACTGGTGGTTTCATTACACCACCTGCCACGTCATCACTCCACTTCTACATTAATTCCATGGTGGCATCACACTTTCTTCAATTTTCTCATATTTTAACCTTCACTCACACTTTCACAAAGAACAAAACTATTGCTTTTGATGGAAGAAGAAACTGCACGTGCAACTGCAGAATCCACCACAGAAGCTCTCACCGGAAAACTCCACGAGCTTCTCGCCGATTCCGACACCGATGCAAGCCAGTTCTCTTTCGAAGAAGAAGCAATAGAGGAAGTCATGCAAGAGTTCTACAAAGAGATCGTTGCATGTCCGGCGGAGGAGGAGAAGATGATTTCGATTTCACCTGTGGTGGAGCTCCACCATGATGCGGATGCTGGTGAGTTTGAAAAGGTTGGAGTTGTTGAAGAATACAAAATGGAAGAACTTGAATATGAAGTTGATTTTGACGATGAGTGGCTTGCAAAGGTGCTTAATTGGAGTAATCAGAGTAAGGTTGGAGACACTAGTAATCACTGGTTTTGATTAATCTAATCAATTGTATAAAAATAATTATGAGACCTGTTGCTTTACTCGTCGGAAGAGTATTAGCTAATAATAAACTACTTTGATCATATGTAAATGCTCATCTTTGTTAATGTAACTTCGTTTTACATTTGCTATCTCTTCTTCCATTTTCGTAATTTTAACTTAACGTTCATTAGAATTGATTTCGTTCTTTATTAATTTGTTAATATAGAAGATTAACTAATAATTACAAGCTTAATTATAAAATATATTATTCTGAGTTGTGACTAGTTATAATACATTTGTTAATTACAAAATATTTTATTTATTGATATAACTTTATTTATTTTTAAATAAATAAATAAAGTGTTGTAGATTTGACTTTGTGTTTGATAATATTAATAAATTATTTTTTTTAACTTTTCAGTTAACGTGAATAAAAAAGTTATGTTTAATAAATATTTTTAATTATAAATTTAGATTTTTCTTTACTAATTTGTGGTATTTTTTCAAAAGTTATTTTAATTAGTTTTTTAATTTGTAACTGTTAACTTATTATTATTTTTTATTTATATTTTTATTATTTTAACAATTTTTTTTATAATTTAAAATAAAACCAATATGTAAAATATTTTAGCTTTATTGTAAAATGTTAAACAATAAATTTATTTTTATTATTATTTTGAATTAATATAACTTAATTTAAAATTACAGTGTTATTATTTTATAAATTTTATTATAAAATTTATATATAAATGTTGAATATATTTTAGTGTTATGTTTGTTGGTATTTCAAATGTGAGCATGAATCTCACTTCGGATAGAAAAGTGAATGTTAGATACTTTATAGATGAGAAGACTCATAGACTCAATGTCTCAAAGTTTTGGATTAATACGTGGTCTCTCACTTGTGTGGTTGTTTATAAAGTCTGATGTGATGATCTCTGAACTCTCTCATAATCTGACAGTGGCCTTAGAGTGTAGTTTAACTAGGGTTTCCTGTATCAAAAGTCTTTTTGAAAAGAGTGTTCAGGTGACATGTTCCAATGAGGCCATCCAACGGCGATGCAAGTAGATATGGATGAAAAAGTGATTGTTGAGGAATAATCAAATCATCGAAATCTTTTTTCAACGAAATACTTTCTCAAACCTATGCAATTTAAATAGGCAACTATGAGAACCAATTCCAGAGCATAATAATAATAATAACAAAAAAATTAAAATAACAAGAACACTAAATTTTTAGCGTGAAAAATTTCCTTTAGATTGAGAAAATAAAAACCACGAGGCCTAGTCAATAAAACCTGCCACTGTATTAATAATATAAATTCAAAAAACACACTCCAAACACCTACTTCACAAAATATGGCTATACCAAAAATGACCCTAAGAGAAGATAAAATTACTCAATAAAAATATCAATAAAATTAACTAAGTGATAGAAACAACTTACTCAATTTATAACTCAAACTGATTAAAATTTGCTAGACACTTTTCTATCCTTTGTGTATTTTTGTCTTCTTTAAAATCCTTGTGTTATTCTCTAAATTTTTATAAATTGCTTATTTGTTGTATTGTTTTAGGATTAAAAAATCCCTTTAAGTAATGTCAAATGAGTTCGACTAAAAAAATACAAATCAACACTCGTTTGAATCAATTTTGCTTTTTACTTTTTAAAATATATTTTATAAAATTGTTTTAGAAAAGTGTTTTTAAGAAGAGACCTATTAAAAAACTTGTTTGGTATCATGATTTTTCAAAACAGTTTTAAGAATGACAAAATAAAAATATTCATTTGATAAATTATTTTTAAAAATAGTTTTAGAGATGAGAAAATAAAAAATCTATTTGGTGATTTGATTTTTAAAAATTGTTTTTTAATTAATATAAAATGACAAAGAATTTTATTATTTAATAATTAAAATTTTAATGACATATATATATTTAAATATAAAAATATACAATTTTAAGAAGAGACCTATTAAAAAACTTGTTTGGTATCATGATTTTTCAAAACAGTTTTAAGAATGACAAAATAAAAATATTCATTTGATAAATTATTTTAAAAAATAGTTTTAGAGATGAGAAAATAAAAAATCTATTTGGTGATTTGATTTTTAAAAATTGTTTTTTAATTAATATAAAATAAAGAATTTTATTATTTAATAATTAAAATTTTAAGGACATATATTTAAATACGAAATGTACAATTTTATTAATAAATAAAATCGAGTTAAAATTTCTTATGATTTAATATATGATTTAATTTTTTTTAAGAGTCGAGTTAATAACTTATTTACACAAAACATTTCATTATCAAAGTATTATAGCATATATCGACATTTGAAGCAGAATCATCGCTTTTATCAAATATCAATTCTAGTTTGAACATATCATACAATTCAATAACAAAACTTTAAGAACGAGATACTCAATAAAAATAAAATAAAAGATTTTATAATATCAGTATATAATTCAAAACAGTGTCTAATAACACAAACAATTGTTAGCAAATAGAACAAAGTACACAATCATAAAAATCATAAACAAAATACTGAGATAAGTATGTCTCATCGCTATCACTACAAATTCAAGTAAGACTTTATCCTTAAAGTCTAAGTACTCATCCACATGACAATGAACACTTCTCCCCAATCAGGATTCATAAACCTTTCCAAAGCTTTTTCATACATTTCATGTCAAATGTCTTTCATCTCATCTAGAACACTCACACCAAGAGATAAATTTGATGTTACATGTGAAGTAGCATCTACATTCTTAATTATAAATATTATTTTATATTTATTAATTAGTATAACTACTAATTTATCAAATACTTAAATTAATTTATTAACTATTAATTTTTAATTATAAATTATTAATTATCAATTATAAACCTACTTATCAGTCGTCAGATATAAGTTATCAATTAACTTATCAATTATTAGTTATTTTTATCAAACCAAACATTTGTGTCTCCGCAATCGGATGTTTTTTTGCAGTTATACATATAAAAAGGTTTATTTGTTTGATCTTTATTTTTCAAATACTAAATTTCTTAAAAAATTTCTTAAATATATAATCAATATTCAATATTTTTACTATTTTTTCTGTTTTTTTTAAGAGTCACTTTTAGAATAATTTTTTGTTTTTTTAATTTTTTTTATCGTCACTTAGTTTAAAAAAAGTATTAATTTCAATTTTGTCAAAATTACTTCTAATTATTTATTGCAGAGAAAAAAAATTCAATACATGTGATAAATAATTAAGAATATTATAGATAAAAGAAAAATTATTATTTAAAAAATAATAATAATATTTAATTTTTTAATATATGTAAAAATAAAATAAAAATATTTAAAAAGAATAATATTTTATCAAATGAAATTTAGTAATAGACATGATTTGAGTATCAAAAGACAGAAAATGTCGCTTTTTTTCGGTGGATATTCGTGGGGGAACAACTCAAGAGAAAACGAGGCACTTTGGTCCTCCTTATAAGAAACATATACACATTCATGTATGGTAAAATATTTAAAAATGTGACAAACATGCCCATTTAGGAGGAATCCTTCTTGTTCTTTTTCCTATAATATACTTAGTATTAATTATTTATTATTATTTTTTTCTATGACTAATAGATCTCGTTTTTAACTTTCTACTTTTTTTTAGTTATACCCTTCATTATTATTATTTTTAGTGAATTTTTGTTTACATTTATTTATTGTTTTTAGTTAAATACAATAAAAATTATTATTTTTATTAATATTATTCATAATTACAATATTTATTAAATAGAGAAATAGATAATAGTCAATTGTATTTGATGTGAGTACAATAGAAACTAATCATTATGAGTCGCAAGGGAGTTTAAAGTTCTAATATGTAAAAAATGAATGATCTTTAACTATATATATATATATATATATATATATATATATATATATATATATATATATATATATATATATATATATATATATATATATATATATATATATATATATATATATATATATATATATATATATATATATATATATATATATATATATATATATATATATATATATATATATTGTCTGATGGAGATATCGACTCTTATGCCTACAAGCTTGGTCACACGTCATATGACATCAACTTTGTAATGGAATGAATATGGTTAGCTGTCCATTTAATATAGAAGGTGCGATTAAGTCATGCGACTCTGAATACTTCAGTTATTGATTAAGAGAATCCTGTTAGACTTACTTAAAATGTGGCTTGACACGTTCTCTTACAATATCCGACCGAACGAAATAGGGAGACATTTACAACATGACTGCCACATGGTCTCACCCTTCCTTATTTCTCCATTCCTTGTGTTGCTTACTGTAACACCCTTTTTTACCCCGCATAAATATATGGCATAAATCAGAGTAAATATCATGCATATCAAAAAGGGCGACACAATTACTTCTTCTTATCTCCAAAGGCTTATGATAATTTGAAGTTTGAAGCTTGTTGTATAAGAATCACTCTTAATTCTTAGAACCTAAGTCTTGGAGTCTTCAGAACTTGTCATGTCAGAACTTTGTCTTCTAAGTCTTCAGCACTTGATTATAAAACTTGTTTTTCTTCAAATCATCAGAACTTGTTTAGCAGAACCTCGTCTTCATAATCTTCAGAACTTGTAACACACAGAAACAAAGTTTTAGAAGGCCTCCAAAGCATAACCACCAAGTCACGATCAGAACTTCTTGTACTAACGTTCCTAAGAACCGTTGCATAAGATGAATTCCATAATCTTGACTTCATTGTAACACATAACCACATGTTTTCTTTCAGTAGTGTATGTTAAGAACCTGATAATGTCACACGCCTTAGTACCATAGTTAGAACATTACAGCAGCAACTACACACTAGAACGGAACCATTAAAGTATATAATTGTTCTTTATGATACTATGTAAAGTTATCATCAAAATCTTAAAGCCAGATGTAGAAACACTTTTTTCTCTTACACAATACAATTCAAAC